GAACTTCGAATTACGGCCAACATAGATTTGTTTGTTTCGTTTGCTGTAACTTGAAGTTCGATTAACAGCTAATTAAATTTCGAGTTGCTAAATGGTAACTTTATTATATCATAAGATTATATAATGAATTCTTTCATTCTTTTTATGGGTATTTTAGTGAATGTAAATGTATGTATCAAAATATGTAAATCCATAAAAATGATCAAAATTCCAAATGCAATCATAGTACGCATGTAAAGTAAACAAACAAAATCGAGTGATTTTGGATTTGTTAAAAATTAGAAGAAATGCTGTGACACTATCTAATAGTTGGTTTGGATTGCCGAGCAAGTCGTGATGAAGGTCTAAAATTGTAAACAATATATTCGTAGATATCACTGACCACGAAAGACGCCCATCACGAGTTGTCTTGTAACATGTATGTTACATGTAATAAATACATATTACATGTATGTTACATGTAATAAAAAACACTTCTATCAGACATCGGGATATTGTGCCCCATCTGTGTATAAGAAATGTATGTACTGGACCAATGGAAAATGTCGCCACCACACCATACATAAGTAATCTGAAAGAGTGGTGATTTGAGAGAGAACTTCCATCATATATACTTGATTTGCAAAAAAAATCGCCAGGTAGAATGCTGATTGTGTGATTGCCGTTAGGCCAAAAAAAAAAAAAAAAAAATTGAAAAATTGGGTCGGTCGGTCGGATTTTGTTTTGTTTTTTGTTTTCTTTTATACTCGTGAAAACTAATGGTATCGTAAATAGCCGAGGTATATGGGATCAATCAAACGCATGCTAGATATTAAACAGTTATTTCAGTCTTTTGTATCAACCCAAGGTTCAATGTCACCACTTATCCCCCTGGGGATCATACAACGGTCCGGTATCGTTAATTTTTAGAGGAAACACTTTTTTACTGCTTAAAATGGTGAGTTTTTAATATTTGGGTCCATTAAAAAAAAAAAATATATATTTCATATTTTTGGGTCGGTCGCTGAGGGCAACAAAACAATTTTTTTGGCCTTGTTTTGTAAAATTGTAAAATAAACGAAAGATCAACTACTGCCTACCACAGAGAGCGCACCACACAAGCACAAATCGCACTGAAAACATGGCGGCGCCCACGGGTAATGTTTTTTTCTTTTTAATTTTGTCTAAATAACGAGGATCTACATAGAATATGTCATCTTGGACAAAACACTGGTTCTTAAATGTTAAAACCGTTGTTCACGGGAATACTGTAATTCTAAGCGCAAGCTGTAACAACAAAATGGTGGCGTTTCTCCACGTGATTGTAATATGGAGGTACAAATGTAAATGGTACCTCCATGCACCGTGGTACTATTCGGTATATGCAGTGGGAATATTGGTATTACGCGTGATACTGTAGTGTCGTTATACCAGTGCTTGTTTATTGTAATTTGTTAATACTGTGTGCTCATCTGAATGTAGCACGGTATGTTCGCAGGCGCCTGTGGGTATGGCGGTCAAGATCATTCTGGAGAGTAACTGTGGAATCATAGCCCTATGTTGCCGACAACAACAAAATTAAAAAAAGACGTCCAAATGAAAATGTTAGGGCGAAATTCGATTGTAGGTCGCACCAAAGAGCTACGGAGCCGCAGCTAACTGGAGAGGATCACCAGTACAATAATACAATGTATAACCGTGCAAAAATCTCTTAGAACATACTAGTACTTTTTGTGATGTAATTGTTGGGGTAGTAATAAGTTGTAGGAGTAGTAATGGGTTCATAATTTGATACATACTGTCATCTCATTACACTGCTGTGACGTATGGCATGGACTTCTAAACATACTTTAATTTTACAGTTATTGGCCTTGCCTGAAACTTTTATTGGCGTAGCCAAGGACAATAATTTTTTTAGTTAAAACCCAAAATGAAAAAGAAATGCATTTAAGAGTATCATCCAGCCTTTTTATCAACAACAGCAATTTAAGTGTCTTGGATGTTATGATATCAGAGGCCAATGACACACAAAATGGTGAAGAAATATGCTGGGAGAGGCCAATGTCAATATTTATCGAATGGAGTTGTAACCATTTTTGACCAATAACCATTGAATGTCTCATACTTAGCGGATAATAAAACAATTTATAAACCCAACTGTTTTCTTTGATGGAAAGACCTGTACCCCATCCCACACTTTAATCCTAACTCTAATCCTAACACTTGTACAACCCCCTAATTGAATTATATATGCCCGTCTTGAGAAAACCTGTGGTTATCTGAAGGAGCATATACAATTGAAATTGGAGCCGTTGGTAGGGTATGATTCAGGTGTGGAGTGGAGGTACAGAAGGAAATATTTCCAATTTGATCTCAGTAACATAACAGCCACTGCTTCCGAAATTCAAATTGAGGCACTTGCTCGAATAATGTTGAACTATCTCATGAATATTAATTAGAACTAATTATTGGATTGATCAATTTAAATTCTAACTTTCATTTTGATTTATAAAAATGTATATTTTTAACAACCACAGTTTTCTGCCCTTCACTGTATAACTTTGTTATTTTCAGTGGAACCAAGTCATTGATAACTGGAAAACTTTTGAATTTTAAAACAAAAATATACTGAGGTCTGTAAACTGAAGAATATCACAATTACATGAAGGCGTTGTCCTCCTGTGAACAAATCCTAATGTTACGCTTCACGTCTATGTATTATCGATACCAAGTGATCTGTATCTCAAAACAACTGAAGCTTTTTCTGTACTTTATAGAAAGTAAAAAAAACGACCTGTTGGAAGTTCCCGCTGGATGGAAAGAAACTCCATTTACTAAAGATGATAACCCGCATGGAATGGTCTCGGAAAGTTCATTCGCTACGTTATTTCCAAAGTACAGAGAAAAATATTTACAAGAATGCTGGCCATTCGTTGAGAAAACACTTAGTGATCATGTGAGTATGCTCTTCCCAGCTAATAAACATTGAATGTCATCTTCTTTCCTGACTCTTTTTTTTTTTGGCATTAAATTTTTTCTGATTTTGGTTTGTCACGATAAAGACATGTTTTATTATTTGTAAATTTCCAGTAGTCAAGTTACCTGTACCTCAGGTTACTGTTAGTTAATTTCAAGTCCAACATTATAGAGGTCCTGGCCAATAATTTTACTGACGTGGTAATACTAAATTGTTGGAGTATGATATATTTAAATTTTAAATGGAATTTCTTGCATAAAAGACAATCAATTCTAATTTGTATATTATCCGGTAATGTGTGGGATTCAGAATAAATTCAGAATTTTTTTTTCAAAATTTAAAAATGTCATCAACCAACACTTTTTCATGCAAACGAGTCATTCACCACGAAATTGGAGGGCATGGAAGGAGTCACCGGTGGTAATTAGTTCATGTCACGTCCAAGTCAAAACTCATACTCGTAATTTTTCATTAGATGAGCGCATTGGATTGTCGGAAAATCAATGTTTATCAACACAAATGTCACACATGCTACCACGACGACCCCTATCTTTCAATGCCATTACTCAAACAGTTAAAAATTCCAATATGTAATCATATTTTCCTGAATATTCTAGAATATTAAGGCCAGTCTGGACGTCATTGAGGGCAGTATGACAGTTACTACAACAAGGAAAACCTGGGACCCATTCATTATTGTAAAGGCTAGGGATATGATTAAATTATTGGCTAGAAGTGTACCTGCTGAGCAAGTAAGTATTTCTGTTGTCAACTCGTGGTCACACAAATACATCATTGTCATGTCATGGGATCTGTATCAGAGCAATACAATCTGCATACTTCACATTTTCACAGGCAGTTAGAGTTTTGGAAGATGGTATGGCGGCAGAAATTATAAAGATTGGTTCTTTGGTTAGAAACAAAGAAAGATTCGTTAAGAGAAGGCAAAGATTAATTGGACCAAATGGATCAACATTAAAGGTACCGGTATACTTACCAGGTAGTTGTGAAATATTTTATGGGAATATTCCATGAGTGGCAGTGCCACACAGTGAAACAGAAAAAAGTGGGAGATTCTAACCTACACAAGATTTCTGCTGCAAACCAATGACCACAAGTTTTAATTTCTGACTTATAACTCAACGAGAGATAAAATTGAAAGATTTATCAAGAAGCAGTTGCATTGCCTTGCACAGCATTTATTTGAGTTTAGTTGACATAAATACAAAAGTTTATTTTAAGTTTTGTTGTTTGTTTGTTTGTGGAGAACCTCTATCAGGATTCACCAGTCGCAGGAAATAACTTGACAAGCTATCTGGGAATTCTCATGCTGAAAATGTGTTAGACACATTTATCTTTTCGCATGATTTGTGAATTATGATTAACAACATACATGTTTATTATGATAATGAATTCAGTGTTTGACGCATACATATGACCGTTTTCTTACAAGGCAATAGAGTTACTGACAGGCTGCTATGTGATGGTACAGGGCAATACAGTGGCGGCTTTAGGGCCATATAACGGTCTCAAGCACGTTAGAAAACTTGCAACAGATACGATGAAGAATGTCCATCCCATATATAATATTAAGGTATGTACAGCCACCAATATATGTCAGCTTGTTAGATTAGCTAGTCGATGATCATTCTCTTACTGATAGCCATGGAAACAAATCATGAACATAAAATGAACAAACAGTGAAAAATGGCTCGTCCCACAAAAAATTTGTTTACAAGCCTAATGGGAATTTTTGTAATTTAAGTAAAAATGTGAAATGTACATAAATATCTCAGCTCTCTGAAAATATATTGCTATAGTTTAAAAGCTTAGTGGGAACTGTTGCATAAACTTGTTAGATTAGCCAGTCGTTGATCTTTCCCATTTTTAAAGTCAGTTGGTCATCAAAAACTTCCTTGGTACTGTTGTTCGTAAACTTGCTGGAAACCAATTCCACCTCATGTTTAAATTGGGCTCAGTGGGTGTAGATGGGCATATGACTCACAAACACATTTCAGTTTGATATACAAACCAATTCCACCTCATGTTTAAATTGGGCTCAGTGGGTGTAGATGGGCATATGACTCACAAACCTATTTCAGTTTGATATACAAACCAATTCCACCTCATGTCTAAATTGGGCTCTA